GCAGTGGTCGTAGAAGGCCTATGGGACTCTTATGCTCGGCCTTGACTTGCTGACAGGTTAAACATCTTCTTACAAAGTCGGCCACGTCTTTCTTCAATCCTTTCCACCAAAGCGCCCCTTTCAAGTCATGGTACATTTTTGTACTTCCTGGATGGGCTAGATAAGGTGCGGTATGAGCCTCAGATAGAATTTCCTTTCTCAATGCTTCGACTTTAGGCACCACAATCCTGCCACGAAACTCCAAGGCCCCATCAGTGCCTCGGTGAAAACCCTCGACGCCTCCGGCATGAACCTTGCCATCAATCGTACGAATAAACTCATCTGAAGCCTGCTCTTGCCGGATTCTCTCCCTCAGCGTCGGCTGAACCTGCATGGAATTCACACTTCCCAAACTGGCTGTAGGAAGTGCATCAACCAGCTGGATCTGCATCCGGGAAAACTCATGAATCAACTGACTCTACTGAGTAACAACGTATGTCAAGTCACCCTTCACCTTGCGGCTTAGGGCATCAGCAACAACATTCGCCTTTCCCGGATGATACTGGATTGTACAATCGTAATCCTTGACGAGCTCTAACCAACGGCGCTGCCTCATGTTGAGCTCCTTCTGAGTAAAGATATACTGCAAGCTCTTATGATCAGTAAAGATTTCGCATTGACCGCCGTACAGATAGTGTCGCCAAATCTTGAGGGCATGAACAACTGCAGCTAACTCCAAGTCGTGCGTCGGATAGTTCTGTTCATGTGTTTTAAGCTGGCGTGACGCATAAGCAACGACCTGGCCATCTTGCATAAGTACACATCCCAAACCCTGCCTCGAAGCATCACTATAGATGGTGAAGCTCCGAGAAGGATCTGGAATAGTCAACACCGGTGCCGTCCTAAGCCTCCTTTTCAGCTCCTGAAAACTCGACTCACAATGGTCTTTCCACTCGAACTTTACAGACTTCCTCGTCAACTGAGACAAAGGGAGTGCAATCTTCGAGAACCCCTCGATAAATCTGTGATAATAACCTGCAAGGCCGAGGAAACTACGAACCTCGGATGGATTCTTCGGTGCTGACCAATTCTGGACTGCAGCAATTTTGGAAGGATCAACTTCAATACCTGCTGACGTAATAATGTGACCAAGAAAAGCCACTCGCTGAAGCCAAAATTCGCACTTGGAGAATTTTTCATATAACTTCTCGCGTCTAAGGGTCGAAAGAACGGCCCTCAGGTGCTCCTCGTGCTCCTTCTGGCTCTTGGAATAAATAAGAATATCATCGATGAAGACAATAACGAACTGGTCGAGAAAAGGATGAAATACACGGATCATCAAGTCCATGAATACTGCCGGGGCATTACTGAGGCCAAACGGCATAACCACAAACTCGAAGTGACCGTATCTCGTACGAAAAGCTGTCTTGG